CCGACAATTATCTCCGATTAATCCCGACAGTTATCTCCGATTACGGTGAGTCCGGTTTCATTTACCGCGCTGACAACGAAGATTCTACCACCTTGCCCTGACCCTTGGTCTTCATAAACCCTCAGAATGGTGGTCACCACGACCCCACTCTCAAGCAGAGACTCCAGCAACTCTCTGGTGGATCCCAATTCTTTTTTAATTTTTTATTTTTAAAACAACTCAAATCCACGTCATTCAGCCACATCAATTAAAAATATAGTCTATTGTGCCACGTCAAATATACATTAACGCCGTTAGATCCAATTTAATGGTAGGGGTCTAATTGATGCAATTTTTATAAAATAAGGATCCAATTGAGAAGCCGAAAAAGAAAGAGAGATCTATTTGATATTCTGGACGAAAATAGAGACCTACTGAAACATTAAACCTAACAAAAGCATTATTTCCGTTACCTTTAATATGATAATGTATTAATGTTGAACTTTGAATTTGTTGAAAAAATCATTATTAGTCTTAAATGGTTGTTATTCAAATAATGTAGCAATTAATCTTTTGTATAATAAATATTTTGATTAGCAAATGGCCTTTTCTGAATTGAAAACATTAATAAATGTGTTTGTAAAGGAAGTACAGTAATTGGGGATAGGGCCACAAATGAGAGTGAAACGGCTAGAGGTAGTGTTTGGCTCTCATCGATTTTTGAACAAGTTGAGCACAAACGCTTCCGTTTCACGCCTATTCCGCGTTGTCTTTGTTTGTCCTTTTAACTCATTCTTCTTCAAACACTACAAATTCCTAGGTAATCTATTCTGCGTTACTTTTCTTATTCGTCTCATTCATGCAATTCCTCCTTCAACATCTTTTCATTTTCAAATATTAATCTAATTTCATTTCCATTTTATTCTGCAACAAAGGACATCATGAGTGCTTCTTCCTGCAGAAAACTTCACATGGTATGTGCCCACAAAACTTTTCCTCTATATTTTCTACTTCTTAAATTAAATTCAGTGCCATTTAGCATATACTTTAATTTCTTAGCTCTACTCTTATAAATTTAAATATTTCCCCTTTCACACAAAATAGTTGCGTAGGAAAAAATATGCTTATTTTACCAGCTTTATTTTCTATGCTTAGTTCAGTTTATAAAGAATTTATAGAGCACAGTTTGTGAACTAAGGGGAGAATGATATTATCAAATGCAATTGGATTATTATTTAGCCGGAGAAGAAACATGAAATGAAAGAATTATTAACATTTGATTTCTTCGGTTCAATTTCATACAAAAATCAAGAAGTAAAAAAAGTATGATAAGTTTTAGGTTTTTTAAGCTTTTACAACATTTTGTTTCAATGAAATTATCACACTCTTCAAGCATAGAAAGCAAGAAAAATTTCAATCAAGCTTCAATATTCTATTTTATTGATATTTTTTTATCAAAATTAGATTGGTCTGCTAAAAATTAAACTTCAACAAAAATTATTTTTTGTCAAAAACTATATTGATTAACCCTATATATATATATATATATATATATATAAGAGATAAAAGAATATTTTTTTCTTATAAAACATTTATTGCAATATATATTCAATTCAATATAACTAATATTTGAACATTATGGTGTATGTTTATTAAATATCTTACTTTTAATATAAATTTTATATTAAAATGTATTATTTAGTAAAAGTAATCATTAAATACACAAACACAAATATTGAAATAGTGATTACTTTTATTGTCATTTAAAAAATTAACTTACAAAACATACTTAAAAATCGAATTCTTCTTTCAAAGTATTAGTTATTGTATTTATTGACATTAATAATAATATTAAATTTTGGTTTTACTACATAGATGTAATATATCATGCGAACCTCTACAGATGAAATATATTTAATAAACCTAGAGTAGTTTTTTTCAAAATTTAATGTCTTAACATATATAAATATATAAAGAGAGCTTAATTTCTATAAACATTCCTGTGAATTGTTAGTCAATACATTAAACATTGTAATAAATATGACTTTTAATGTATTATAGTAAAGGACAAAGAAAATTAATTATCATAAAAAGTTATTTTAGTGATATTATAGAATTTCTTTGTAACGTCAATCCTAACGCTGTTTTATTTAAAGCAGTTAGTAAATGTATTATTTAGATAAATGAATTTCTAATATATAGACTTTTTCAATAAACATAAAATTTTGGAATTTGATTGATAATTTTAGATTGTTAATTTATTCATATTCATTTATTTATATGATCTTGCAAACAAGTCTTTAATAGATTCTTATTGAATAGTCGTTTGCGACTTTGTATTTATTTGAGGATGATAAGTTAAATTAAGATCAATTTAGTCATATTAGCTTTATATAGTATCTATCGCAACCTAAAAGGAAAGTTAGAAGAGAACTTAGTATCTTTGTTAAATATTATACTTACAAGTACTCCAGGTAATCTATCTTCATAATAAATAAATAAAATCAAGTTTTAATATATTATTAGGATGAAAGACTTGACATATTCTTATAACCCCATCAATAATTATTATCTTTAACTCATCATTAGTAGATAAACATACTCTTTTAAACCTTAGTATCTCATTTGATCCAACTAAAAAATTAGTTTGATTAGTATTAACAATTTTCTGTACCTTTTTCAGACAATGTCAAGAAAATCATTAGTTCATATTACAACTAATATGATCATATTTTATTTAATTCAACCCAAAACACTCTATTCGCATTTTCTATTTCATTCAAAGGTTGATCTTTATAGATCAATTGGGTTAAAGGAGTCATATATTTGTGACTTCCTTTATGAACCTTCTACTGAACAGTCAACTGCACAAAACTCTATCTTTAAAATTGTCTTAGAATGACTCTAACTAGAGAACAACCTTAACTTCATAAAAATTAATAAAGATTCCCTCAATTGAGAAAACATGTTCGAAGAAGTACATCACTAGCGTCTAGAATCCTTCCTTAGACAATTCGACATACAATTACTTTTCTCTCAAAATATACAATATGGTCCTCAAGTGTAAAATAAACATCACCACAAATGGATATTTATATATATATATATATATATATATGGTTTGAAAATCCTATTCCTATAAGATATAGTTGAGCATTAATCATCCGATGAGGCATAATTACATACATGTCTTAAAAATTATCCTTTTTCCATCTTTAATCTTTACTCTAATATAATGATCCCCATATCTCAAATAAATCTTGGAGAGTACCACCACTCCATGTAGCTGATCCAAAATAATTGTCAATGTTTGACAACAAATATTTATTGTCAACTTATTCAAGTGCTTGTATAATCAACGCATAATCTTGATTATTCATTTTTCTTCTTTATCAACGACATTGGAACACCCCACAGAAAAACACTTTGTCTAATTAATATTTTCTACAACAAATCTACAACCCATTTATTCAATTTTGCCAACTCTACTAATGTCATCATGTATGATGTCATGGATATTGGTCCACATTCTACACTATATCAATAAAGAAATCTATCTCTATTGAAGGTAGTAACTCATGAATCTCATTTGGAAACACATCCATGAATTCCTACACAACTTTCATATTTCCACTAAATTATCATCATTTGCCACCATTATAAAGCACTTTGCATCATCTTGTACATCTTGGAAAATGTACCCTTCTTCTAAAGACTAGCATACATAATTTTTTTTCATAATATATAAGAATGAGATTGATAAATAATTAATACATCTCTAAGATCACATTCATGTCCTTTAGAGTCATAAACAATAAGATTTATCTTGAACTTGCATATCCCTCAACAAACACCTTTCATCTAAAACATACCTAAGATGCAATCACCATACTAGATTTTGGGATAGACACCAATATATCACATTTCAGCTCTTAATGGAAGTTTCAACTATTCAATACATAATTTGAACACAAAAGAATGTGTCACTCCAAAGGTATACAACATTTTCAAGGATGAACCTTCTTAGAATATATTTTATGCATCAAATTATCTCATTGTCAACTCTACTGATATTAGACTTTATTGGTTGTCTTTGCTCACTACTATGGAATTCTACTACACTCAACTAAATGAAGTAACATCAATCTTAATCCAACAATCTTTAGACAAATAACTTGGCTTATGACATATAGATGATGTCTTTGAATAAAAAAATTATTAAATAACGACCAAGATCAAAATAATTAGCCACTAAGTTAGATATGTTTTATAAATTAAAAATTATTGATATCTAGAATACCTTTAATTATGAATAAAAGATTATAATTGATTTAGTAATTGAAATCTAAATTCATCTCTAACACTAGCTACCAAGATTTTAATTACTTACAATTAGTGATTTTAAATTATCCTTTAATCTTAAATTAGAGACTAATTTATACATTAATTTCTTGATAGCTAAAACTTTAGTGATGAATGTTAGTTTTTTGTTGGCCAACAATTTTTTGTCACCATAATATTGATGTAAAGTATTCATTAATTTCATCTTATTAATACTTTTCGAAAATATGAATTGGTGTACGATTTTAGAACTTGAACTCATCAATATACATTATAACGTAATGATATGGATTTCAGACAGTAAAATCTCAACACTCATTATAGTATTTATAAGGGAAGGGAAATAATAGCATTGACAAAAAAAATCAAAGGATAAATAATGATGGAATGAACATTGATTTCCTTTTATAGTACAAATTTATTTGACATTATTTACTTTGTAGGATGAACAAGTGACTGAACGAAAAATCCACAGACCAAGGTGGCTTGAGTCTTTTCTGAGAAAAATTTTCTTTAACTCGTGCTCAACTCATCCATTCCGTAAGAATGAGTTGAACAAGTATTGTATAAACTGCAATTTGTCAGTTTGCCAATACTGTCTAGCTTCGGGTCCTCATCGCCATCACAAAATACTGAAAATCTATAGACATGTTTATAAGGATGTTGTCTCTCTTGCAACCATGGAAAAGTATATTGATATCTCACAAATTCAGGTATGATATGATTTGATATGTTTTTATTTGTGTTAAATATTTTATATGTAACATTCAACATGAATGTTTTTCATGTTCTTCAAGAAATTATTTGGATAAATTGCCTATAAAAATTTATATTGTGGATTTATAAAATGGGAGTTTCCTAGGTGTTCTTTCAAAAAAAATGTTGGGAAATGTCATATGTAATAATTTTAAATGATGTCATACTAGTTTAGTTGGCTGTCAACTTTATAAAAAAATAAAATAAAAATTATAATTGATGTCTTCATATACAGTATAATTGTCATCTAAAATTGTCATAGCATTTGAAATTATTACATATAATATATTTTAATTGGATTAAGGTGAAATAGCAGCAAAACGTCTTTATTTAAAGCACACTCATGTAAAATTTATATCCTTAAAAGAATATAACCTATGTGTGATTTGGTTCCTTTCTGGTTGTTGCAGCCTTACAAATGCAACAAGCGACTGGTTATTTCACTGAATCCTCTACCACATTCTGGTTCAACGGCAAACAATGAGGCATCATGCAATACTTGCAAAAGAAAATTGACTGAACCTGAATTATATCGCTATTGCTCCATTTCTTGCAAGGTGATGATGATAATTTGGCAATCACAACCATGTTTTGTTCTTCATTGTGACATATTAAACTAAATTTATAATTTTAATCTCTTGCTGGTTTACATCTAAACTTGCAGGTTAGAGCTGTTTTAAGTAACCCTGATGATTCAACTCCTCCTTTCATTTCCATCCAGACTCCTCGTCTTCCCCCTCAGCAGGAAAAGCAAGAGGAAACTAATTCTGAACCTCAAAAGCCACAAAAGAGGAAAAGAAAGGGATCACCCCATAGAGCTCCCTTCTTCTGAAAGTCTCGTGTATGTCACATGCCCTTAATCTGGATATGGAAGATTGGAATAAATTGCATCTTGGAGTTTATTAACCCTGACATTTGAACTAAATATTATTACTCACATACTGTGTTTCAATTCTTAAATATTATGGATATTGGTATTTTCTGGATTGAACTTTGATATTATCATGTCATGTAGTAATATATATATATATATATATATATATATATATATATATCGTGTTTTATTGTTGTAGATTTTGTTGTTGAAACAGAAAGAAATCTTTTAGCATTTCAGACACTATTAACACCATGCTTATGACAATATAGTAGGTCAATCTGATAGGATGGTTTAACTACTTTCTTTCATTTTAAAGAAATATAATCTAAATTGTCTAAATGATGAAGATTTCAAATTTCACAATTTGGGAAAATTATTCATCTGGAGAATATAAGAATCATTTTCGTCCCAGAAATATAAGAGGACGATTAGATATATTTTTGTTGTGCAGTGATAAATGTGTAACCGCAAAAAAGAAGACTCTATGAGAGATGGCTGATTCGTTTTCTCTAAAACTACGTTTTCAACTAGATTAAATTAAGAAGGTATTACAAAATAAAGAGCATTAGAATAGATGATTTTGTAGGTTAAGCTCAAACTTCTAAGAAAAAACTCAAAGGAAAGTATAACACTTCTTGATGATTAAACTTTAAAAAAGTAGCTGTAGACTGTCCTTTTAAGATATATCATATCGTCTACGTTTTGCTGAATATACAATATAATTTAATTTATTAACGGGTTTTTGGTATGAATTAAAACAATATTTTCAATTGCCAATATATATTAGATCTATTTACTAGATATAAATAGTCTATACGGGATAGACATTTTTTCCTTCTAAACGAGTTTTTCCTACGATTGTGAACTTTTTTTTGTAAGATTTCTTCATAAATATTAAATCCTCTTGATACACCTTGTGTTAACATAAGTTATCATTATGATTATTACGCATCTCAAGATGAAAACACGAGATTTTTTTTCTTATTTAAATGCTTAATGAATGGCCACATGTTATTCAATCTACAATAAGTTCAATACCATGCCAAATTTCACTACCAAAAGGTTTAATTTAACCTCTAAACTAGAGGAGAATCACCATGACCATTACATTAAGATATTAATGCGCTCAACTTTACCTTTTTATTGCGGTAGTTTATGATGTCAATGAATCAATTATTTTTTTTTATGTTACTGGTGCTACTTTTCAATCATTAATTAAATTATAACATTTACAAAGTTGATGAAGAAGTTTATACAATAACATCTAAAAGCACTTTAAATTGTTAACCCAAACCAAAGGAAAACACTATTTATGTGGAGTTTTGTAGGTAAAGCGCAAATTGAGACATGAACAAATCTAATTAAGACAAGTACTATTCCTTCCACTTACTATATCTTTCTTCACTGAATGAAAGTATCAGATCACCAAGGGGGAAAACAAAACGTTATTTCAAAAGGGACATTAAAACACCACGTTAACAGAAAGAAGTGTGAAAAAACTATAAGACGAAGATATATGAACAAATGAAACGAGAACAGAGACAGGTATTTCCTAACTTTGAGCAGCCAATGATACAGTAGTTTTTCCTCATTGTTGATTCCTTTCAACTTTCACATTGTTTTTTCTTCACTTGAAAGTATAAAATCACCAAGGAATAAAAAAACAAAGGGAGCTATTCTTTGGTATCACCCACATAAAACCAACGTCTCACATGGGAGACGTTAACATACCTCATTAACGAAAGGAGGTGTGAAAAAAATAAGACCAAAATATATGAACAAATGAATTGAGAATAGAAAAAAAAAAAGGTATACTCTAATTCTAAGCAACTATGTTACAACAGTGTTTAATCACGCATATACTCGTATTCTAGTATAAGAGAAGGGTCTGCTGGAATGAGAAAAGAATCAGGAGAATCTGAACAAAAGGATGATTCGGTCCTGGAGGGTACGAGTGAATCACAGCAACCAGTGCAGACAAAAAGTGGTGGCACTGTCTCAGAATCGTCTATGCCACAGCAGCGAGTATGCTGCCACACTTCACAAATGTCACAAGCCACCATTCTCTCCCCATCATCATCTTGAGCTCCACACTCGCATCTCACCTTCCAGTTGTCAGATCCACCCTGATACTTCAAATTGGTGCACAAATCAATGGCAATTCCCCTCACACAAAGTTCTACACCGGACTGGATTAGTCCAAACAGCACTTCCTCATCACTTACTCCCATAAGTTGTTTAATGTCTGTCACTATAAGCCTTTCTGCAATGCAGTAAGTGTCCCTAAGAGCAGCCTCAGAAGCCCTCTTCAAGTCTCCAACCGTTGCATGCAGTGGAACCACCACAACCTCACCACATGGTAGACCTTTCAACTCATACTTCTTGTCCACAAAATTTGGTTGCAGTCGGCAAATGAATGTCAATGACTGCTCCTCTATTTCATCCCTCTCTGCCCACTCTTTTACGAAATATCTGCTGTCTAGAATTGTCTGAATGGCCAAGTCCACTATTTCTGAATCGGGGTAGCCCAATAGCACATTCTTGTACAAAAACAGTACGTCGCAGTAAACATCGTTACCAGGCACCCAAGATGACTCTACAACTTGTTGATCTACATAAGCCATCACCTCAGTCTCCAATTCAGGGGCTTTGTACCCGTTGCCAAGATCGTGAATTGTGTACTCTAGAATTCTAGTTGACGGATTCACCATCCGACGAACAACATAGTTTCCAACAATGACATTGTTGAGTGATTTAAGTACATAATCAAGTAAACCTGTGTCACCAATGTGAAGCCTAGCTGCATCTCTCACATCTTGCCTTGCCATCCCACCTGTGCCTGGTTTAACAGCCTTGTTTTCTTTCAGTGCGTCCACAATCACTTGAGCGGCAAACTCTAGCCTTCTTGTGGGCCACCTACTATCCATGTTAGTCACTGCATTGCTGAACTTCTTATACCTAACAGATTTCTCCTTCATGGAATTTGATCTGGTTGAAAGAGTGTGTTTGGTTGAATTTCTTGACATTAATGCTGAACAGGTAGAATCAGCAGCTGCGGCGGCGGCAGAATAGGAGACTGTTGTCTTAGGCGCTGGAGCACGGGAAGACTTTACGGTAAGCATAAACCTTAGAAGATCCCTGAGTGAGATAATATGAGTCTCACTCATATCTCTATAGCACCGAATCATTTGTTTGATTTCTTTGTTGTACTTTGTCTTACTCAAATCTTTTGCAATCATGTCTAGCTCCAAGGAGCCAAGCGTTGTCATTGCTTCATTGTAGTCTGATTCTGTCACTCCAAAGCTTCCACGGCAAAATCTATAACCCCATCTGCCAAACCAGGAGTGTCCATAGGCGACTCCATGAAGTAAGCGAAGGTCCATAGACCTCTTACACGAAACATCTTCAACTGCAACTTTCCTGCCATACAAAGCAAGTATCATATAAACATCGACCCTTGAACGCTCAATAAATTAATTTAAAACAACGAGAATGAAGATGAACGTTGAGTTGGGGTTTTATTTACCTTACTCGGAGGTTGGTACATACCCTATCCCATAGATCCATAATCTCTCTGCCACTAAGAACCTTGGAACCTCCTTCAATGCCATTTACACAGAGCAAATGGCCATATCCATTGCAATGAATCACCCCATGCAACAGATGCCTCTGACTATCTATAGAATCTTCATCTAAGGGCCTATGCCACCCACTGTCCATCGGGATTATAAAATGATACCTTCTCTTTGATACAAAATGGCCACTCCAACCTATCAATTATTAACCAAACAGGGTATTTATATCAGCATCATCCAATTTTAGTTTCTAAAACCCACTCAGAAGTCATCAAACCTCCAACCAACAGTATTCATAATAAATGAATCATCACTTTTGGAAAACTAGTCGAAAAAATGCTTCTTTTTTCGTTTCTAATGACTAAAATATCATTTTTTTTTTCACTTTGTCTCTGTTTTCAGAAGTATGTATGATAAAAAATGAATGAAAAGTTTTTTTTTAGCTTTACAAACTTTTAAAATTGAAAAAGTATGATTTTTTTTAATTCAAAATGTAAGATAAAAGTTAAACTAACATTTTCTCAAACTAACTAAATCACTAATATATCCCTCTCAAGAGTCATAGGCTAAGTCTACCCTGCGATAGAAAATTCCAAAATTAGAAACAACCATCAATGTCAAAACCGGCACCCGAAAGAGCTAACTCCATCTCGACGAGAACAAATTACGAAACACGTAAAAAAGAAACCCTTTTCACGAGCAGAACGCAATCACCGCCATTTCAGAAAAGAGCTAAAAAACCCAAACTTGAGCCAACCCCATTTCAAGAAACAGAAACCAAAGGAAACCCAAGAAATCGAAATCGGAAACGAACCTACGCAGCGGCAGTGATCGCAGAAGGGGTGCGAAGAGTGGTAGACGTGCTCTTCGACGGTGTAAAGAGGAGCCATTACGTTGGACTTATCATGGATGAGAAGGGTACACCATAGGGGATTCCCGGAGACACTATAATCTTCAGGTTCTCCAGCTTCTTGAAGGAAAACCCGAACGTTATCGCGGAAAGTACCCAAAGGTACAATTGGGATACCAGGGTCACCGAATGAATGAAACCTGAAAAATTTTGGCCATCGTTTTCGCTTCTTGCAAGCTTCGATGAGAGCAAAAGACATTGCGAATTGACGAATATGAGAAAATGGCTTCGGCTTCGATTACGATCACTCTCGCATCGTGATTTGGTGCGAGGAACAGAGCCCAGTGCAAACCAGAGAAGAGAGCAGAAGAGAGCTTTAACTCAACAAACTAATTCCGTTATAAAGCATTGGCGCCTTTGAATAGCTTCACGTGGGTATATACGTCATTTCGCGTGGAAACTTTAAGTTTGGTGGAGGAGCTGTGCTAAGCGTTGATGATGTATCATCGACGGTCAGAACCCGGACAACGAGTAGAGAAAAAAAAAAAGTAAAGTTCATTGTCAAAATTTATCTAATAACATAAAGATTTCACCATGGAATTTTTTTTTTAATTTAAGTTAAATATGGTTTTTATTTTCAAATTTTAAAAAATAATGTTAATATCTCTAATTTAAAAAAAAAAATACAAACTTATTGTTTAAAGATTAAAAATGGTTTCGAGAAAACATGTTAGTCTTTGAAATTTAATATTTGATACTGAAAGCATATTTCTTTTTAAAATGGGACACTAAATTTAAAAGAAAATTGAGAAACTAAAGTATTTTTTTTTACATGTGGAAGTTGGTGGCAGAGGAACATGTTGTGTATGGACTCTAAGATTTGGGAATGAAAGATTTGTGTATCTTTAGTGGGACAATGAGGGTTGTCTGATAATTTTGCTTCTACGCGGCACGTCGAAAACGGATGGGGTGACCTACTTTTCTCGGCCAGCTCCATAATTGTGGGCTTCAAGGTATTTTAGTCACATATTTAATAAAAAAAATTGAAAAGAAAGAAAACTTTAGCAAAATTATTGGAAATATTTTTATCCCAAGTCTCAAATCCTCCAAAAATTAAAAATTTTACATATTTTTCGATGATTTTGGTTACCAATATCTTATTGGAAGCAAATTTCACTAACAAAAAAAAAAGTACTAATAAAGACTTAAATAAACGTTATAAAATGTACAAGGATGGATAGATTGACCTGATCTTTATGAAAATCTTTAGCCCGAGAAAAATTTATTGGAGAGACAATACTTAGATTTTTCAGCACTTTATTCACAATACATAATAAGTCAAAAGAATGGATATAAACTAATGTATCATGTCCTATGTTTATAGTAAGTGAGAACCTTACTTTACATGGTTGACTTTACAGTATGAAAATCATTTTATGAAAAAAAAAAGTATTTTTTGAATTATGTAATATATAAGTTTATTTTAATGTAAAAAAATAATTTGTAGATTGTGTAACTTAAAACTCAGAAATGACATTTGTAGTGTGAAATATATAATAGAAAACTAAAATTTAGATTGTATAATATGAAATTTTCTTTTTTTATGCAAAAGTAAAAATTGACTAAAAGCTGCTGAATTATACAATTTTAATTTTTTTATTTTAAAAAGTTACAAATTGTATAATCTAAAAGTCATTTTTTTTCATAAATCATAAGAATAAAGTAGATATTAGGAATGAAAAATGAACATCTTCCAATATATATTGTTTGAACTCGCGACGAAATTTATTTTTCATACGGAATATGATAGACATAAGTAAAATTTTATTATTTTCTTAAAATCAGGTAATCTTTCATTCCCATACTCATTTGCGTTGTCATAACCATTCTTATTTTAAATTACTAAAATACTTTTAACTTATTAAGTATTTAATATATATATATATATATATATATATATATATATATATTAACTTTAGTTTGATTGTCATTTTTCCTGCAATATTAACTTTTTTTTAACTATTGAGCACTAGATCAAGTTCATTTTGAATGCATAATTCTATATGTAATTCATTTGATAAAATATTTGAAAAGTTCAATCTAGTTTATATGATATGAATTTCAGACAGAGAAATAATCTCAGGGTCATATCGAGCTAATTCACAAGCACAAGATAGATCATATATTCGTCTCAAAACACATCTATAACTTCCACTATCAAATATTATATGCTTCACTTGATCGAACTCTTGAGCAATGAATCTCAACATATTTTAATACATGTTCACCCAATCTTTTATATATGCTTACTTTAAAAGTGTCACTCATAAGATTTATACATTTTTCAAAGGACGTCTTTATCTCATTATGTTGTAGGATTATGACGTTATGTATTGCATCCCAACACGAACAAAGGTCTCTCATATTGTTCCATAATACTTTCTTAAGGTTCCAATGAGTAGACTCAACCTTGACACAAATTACATGAACAATATCATAAAACATCAAATAAAGCAACTAAATAAAATAAAATTAAAAAATACTTGTTTGATATTGTGTTTCCTAAATGCATAACTCGGTTTGTCTAGACCTTTACAAAGTATTTCTTATACATAATGATCAAGACTTATTGACATATTCAAAGAATAAAGGTCATGAAATACAAACATGATGAAGGCGATTGACACAATCAGTAAACCTTAATTCATGTTCACAATCTTGACATTTAACCATGCTTCCATGATGACATTCCATGTCCCAACAAAATTGACTAACAATTTGCACTTGTCTTTCACATTTTTCTGAAAGTGGAAGCAACATAGGAGATGGTAACATTCAAGGAATGCAGTGCCAATGACATTCATCAAAGTTAGCTCTTTGTCGCTAACAATGACTTATGGTCTGTCCTCATATGTCAAAAATAATTCTCTTAGTTTTTCCAGAGTCTAAGTGAAATTATTTTGTCATTCACTTGATAAGAATATAAAGACCGCTGAGAAAATCAACCTTATTGATGTAACCCCAATTATCTTAAGCAATAATAATCAATATTTGTTTGTTTTGTATGTGTTATCCATCAACAAAACAACAATAAATGCATTCAACGAGTAACTGCATCAAGATGTGTCCAAGATGTCACTTATCACCTTAGATTCGTTCACACATCTATTCTAGTGGGTGTATTTATCATGTTTTAACATCATCATTAATTATTGTAATTCAGTTATCAAACCTCTCAATGATTGGTTGTAAGTATATCTTGCATCATATACTTGTTTGATTGTTGACACATTATAATAATTATTTTCTTTGAGAATAAGGAGAATGTTTGCAACATTCACTTAACTCTTAGTCATACCAATAAGAAATGATTGTTCAGTGGAAAAGGGTGACCAACTAAAGTCTGTGCCAAATCATGATTATGATATTCAGACATTACCTTTAATACTCACCCCTCTCCATTAGAAATTGGTTTGCCTATCAATTTAAAAGGACACTCGCATTTTCTTGTGCCAAATATAGTAGGATGAACATTAGATTGCATTTTTTTATACTTTTCACCCCTTTCACATCCTAACAATACAAACGTCTTTCTCCTAGGTTGACCATTAACTTTATCCGATCTTATAATGACGAAAACAAAGTCAAGGTCAAAAGCAATCGTTGGAATCCAGTTATTTAACTCGTCATATGTGAGGAAAATGTGATCAGTTGTAAAATTATTTGTATAATCTCCCTTACACATAAAGAAAAATTTGACATAAAGCTTGAATTTAGTTATAAATCCATTAAACTGAAGTAACATCATCATCATCAAATACCTTACTTTTGTGGTAATAATAATAATTGGAGATCAAGAGATTATTAAAATAAAACAAGTAAAACCAATTTTTTAAAAATAAATAAAACAAAAAAGAATATCAGATTTCAAAATACAGGAGAAATAATTAACGAATTTCAAATTTTTTAGGAGTGTTTACCAAATTTTGAAATCCAAGAGAAATAATTATCGAATTTCAAAATCCATGTAAAATATAATAAAAATTATCGAATTATCCTTAAGTGAATTTCAAAATCCAATAATTTTTTAAATCAGATCTTGAAATCTATTATCAAATTTCAAAATTCGATGAATTTGTTAAATTAAATTTCAAAATCCAATACATGTAAAATATAATAAAAATAAATATAAATTTCAAACGAAATAAATAGAAAATTCCAAACTAAACTTAACCAACAATTATACTTCAAAGAGAAACAAGATGAAATGAAGAAGATTAACAAAATCAACTTAACAAAAGAAAAGCGAGGTCGAGCTACATAAAAGATGAAAGCACACCACCATATCACCAAAAAAACCATGAAACAGATGAATACTTGGGAATGCATGCTTCAATAAATATAGAATACACAGTGTTTTGGTAATCAATTATTAATGCTTATCTAATTCTTTTTTATTTTATAGATATTTTTAATTAAAGATGTTTCAGTCAATTTGGAAGTGCAAGAAGAAAAGTTGAAAAGATAGACAAAGCCCTTTTGAGAGTTGCTCCCTCCACCACCACCAACCGCTCCCTGCACCTCCCCATACCTTATTTGCCCTTCTATAAAACGGATGTCAACATCCGTTTCACCTTCAACGGATGTTGACATCCGTAACATCCATTTACATATTTCATATTTTAGTTTATTATTTTTATTTAAAAGAAAAAAACTTCAACGGATGTGGCCACATCCGTTAACGGATGTGCCACATCCGTTTAATAGATTTTTAAAAAGTTTTTAATTTATTATTTAAATAATAATATATAAATTAAAATAATAATTATTATTTTATTAAATAAAATAAAATTAATTTATAAATAATTAAATAATAATTTTTAAAAAATTAAATAATATTTATATATTAATTTAAAATATAAAAAATTAAAAAACTAAAAATTAAAAAACAAAAAAAGGAAACGGATGTCGCCACATCCGTTAACGGATGTGGCGACGTCCATTTTAATATATTTATAACAAATTTTTTAATTATTATTTAAATAATAATACATAAATTAAAAGTAATAATTATTATTTTATTAAATAAAATAAAATTAATTTATAAATAATTAAATAATAATTTTTAAAAAATTAAATAATATTTATATATTAATTTAAAATATAAAAAATTAAAAAACTAAAAATTAAAAAACAAAAAAAGGAAACGGATGTCGCCACATCCGTTAACGGATGTGGCCACATCCGTTGAAGTTTTGTTTTTTTTAAATAAAAATAATAAACTAAAATATAAAATATGTAAATGGATGTTACGGATGTCAACATCCGTTGAAG